TACCCCAACCGGGGCTTGAACCTAGGACATATATTTACTGTACTAAAGCGCTACCAACTACACCACAGAAGGCATTAAAAAGGGAAACAGACCTTACAGCTTTTATGTGCTATACTATGAATAAACGCATTCAGTGTGAATGCCTTTATATTCATATTACAGTTACCCCTAACCTCACTCGTGGTTTCGTTTTCGCATTTGATTCAACTCCCAATCTCATTCGGGACCAACAATAATCAAATAAACCCATTACCATATGTGAAATCATGAATCATTTTTACCCCGAATGGGAATTGAACCTAGAGCATATAATTACCATGCCAATGTGCTACCAACTGCACCACAGAATGTCTTAAATGGAAACAGACCTTGCAGCTTTTAACTGCTATAGTAGGAATGACCTTCTGTGGTGTAGTTAGTAGCGCCTTGGCATAGTAATTATATGTCCTAGGTTTAATTCCTGATGGGGATAAAAATGATTCATGTTTTCACATATGGTAATGTGCTTATATGACTATTGTTGGTCTAGAATGAGACTGGGGGTTTAATTAAATGCGAAAACGAAACCATGAGTGTGGTTCGGGAAAACTGTAATATGAAAATAGTGGCATTCATAGCTAATGCGTTCATTCCTAGTATACCAGGTATAAGCTGTAAAGTGTGTTTCCCTTTTAAGACCTTCTGTGGTGTAGTTGGTAGCACCTTGGCATAGTAATTATATGTCCTAGGTTCAAGTCCCGGTCAGGGTAAAAATGATTCATGTTTTCGAATATGGTAATGTGCTTACTTCATTATTGTTGGTCCCGAATGAGATTGGGAGTTGAATTAAATGTGAAAACGAAACCATGAGTGAGGTTGGGGAAATCTATAATATGAACATAGTGGCATGTAGATAGAATGTGTTCATTCCTAGTATAGCAAATAAAAGCTGTAAGGTGTGTTTCCCTTGCAAGACCTTGTATGGTGTAGTTGGTACCGCCTTGGCATAGTAATTATATATCCTACGTTCAAGACCCAGTCGAGGTAAAGATGATTTGTTTTTTCACATATGGTAATGTGCTTATATGATTATATATATATATATATATATATATATATATATATATATATATATATATATATATATATATATGTATATATATATATATATATATATATATATATATGTATATTATATATATATATATATATATATATATATATATATATATATATATATATATATATATATATATAAATAAATATATATATTTATATAAATATATATGTATATAAATATATATATATATATATATATATATATATATATATATATATATATATATATATATACATATAAATATATATATATATATATATATATATATATATATATATATATATATATATATATATATATATATATATATATATATATATATATATATATATATACAGAGAGAAAAAAAATTGAGAAAGAAAGATAGATAGATAGATAGATAGATAGATAGATAGATAGATAGACAGATAGATAGAGAGATAGAGAGAGAGATAGAGAGAGAGAGAGAGAGAGAGAGAGAGAGAGGCAGAAGGTAAGACTTGAAGCTCTCTTTAATTATATATATATATATATATATATATATATATATATATATATATATATATATATATATATATATATATATATATATATATATATATATATATACATACATATATATATATATATATATATATATATATATATATATATATATATATATAGATATATGTTTATATATATATATATATATATATATATATATATATATATATATATATATATATATATATATATATATATATATATATATATATATATATATATATATATATATATATATATATATATATATATATATATATATATATATATATATATATATATATATATATATATATATATATATATATATATATATATATATATATATATATATATGAATCATTTTTTTTTTACCCCGACCGGGACTCGAACCTAGGACTTATGATTACTAAGTCAAGGCGCTACCACTACACCATAGAATGTTAAAAGGAATCCAACCTTATAGCTTATATCTGCTATACTTAGGAATGAACACATTCTAACTGAATGCCACTATGTTCATATTACAGATTCCCCAACCTCACTCGTGACTTCATTTTAGCATTTAATTCAATTCCCAATCTCATTCGGGCCATGAAATTATCAAATAAGCACATTACATATGTGAAAACATGAATCATTTTTTTTACCCCGACCGGGACTCGAACCTAGGACTTATGATTACTAAGTCAAGGCGCTACCACTACACCACAGAAGGTTAAAAGGAATCCAACCTTATAGCTTATATCTGCTATACTTAGGAATGAACGCATTCTAACTGAATGCCACTATATTCATATTACAGATTCCCCAACCTCACTCGTGGCTTCATTTTAGCATTTAATTCAATTCCCAATCTCATTCGGTCCATGAAATTATCAAATAAGCACATTACATATGTGAAAACATGAATCATTTTTTTTTACCCCGACCGGGACTCGAACCTAGGACTTATGATTACTAAGTCAAGGCGCTACCACTATACCACAGAAGGTTAAAAGGAATCCAACCTTATTGCTTATATCTGCTATACTTAGGAATGAACGCATTCTAACTGAATACCACTATGTTCATATTACAGATTCCCCAACCTCACTCGTGGCTTCATTTTAGCATTTAATTCAATTCCCAATCTCATTCGGGCCATGAAATGATCAAATAAGCACATTACATATGTGAAAACATGAATCATTTTTTTTACCCCGACCGGGACTCGAACCTAGGACTTATGATTACTAAGTCAAGGCGCTACCACTACACCACAGAAGGTTAAAAGGAATCCAGCCTTATAGCTTATATCTGCTATACTTAGGAATGAACGCATTCTAACTGAATGCCACTATGTTCATATTACATAGTGGCATTCAGTTAGAATGTGTTCATTCCTAAGTATAGCAGATATAAGCTATAAGGTTGGATTCCTTTTAACCTTCTGTGGTGTAGTGGTAGCGCCTTGACTTAGTAATCATAAGTCCTAGGTTCGAGTCCCGGTCGGGGTAAAAAAAAAAGATTCATGTTTTCACATATGTAATGTGCTTATTTGATAATTTCATGGCCCGAATGAGATTGGAAATTGAATTAAATGCAAAAATGAAGCCACGAGTGAGGTTGGGGAATCTGTAATATGAACATAGTGGCATTCAGTTAGAATGCGTTCATTCCTAAGTATAGCAGATATAAGCTATAAGGTTGGATTCCTTTTAACCTTCTGTGGTGTAGTGGTAGCGCCTTGACTTAGTAATCATAAGCCCTAGGTTCGAGTCCCGGTCGGGGTAAAAAAAAAAAAAGATTCATGTTTTCACATATGTAATGTGCTTATTTGATAATTTCATGGCCCGAATGAGATTGGGAATTGAATTAAATGCTAAAATGAAGCCACTAGTGAGGTTGTGGAATCTGTAATATGAACATAGTGGCATTCAGTTAGAATGCGTTCATTCCTAAGTATAGCAGATATAAGCTATAAGGTTGGATTCTTTTTAGCCTTCTGTGGTGTAGTGGTAGCGCCTTGACTTAGTAATCATAAGTCCTAGGTTCGAGTCCCGGTCGGGGTAAAAAAAAAAGATTCATGTTTTCACATATGTAATGTGCTTATTTGATAATTTCATGGCCCGAATGAGATTGGGAATTGAATTAAATGCTAAAATGAAGCCACGAGTGAGGTTGGGGAATCTGTAATATGAACATAGTGGCATTCAGTTAGAATGCGTTCATTCCTAAGTATAGCAGATATAAGCTATAAGGTTGGATTCCTTTTAACCTTCTGTGGTATAGTGGTAGCGCCTTGACTTAGTAATCATAAGCCCTAGGTTCGAGTCCCGGTCGTGGTAAAAAAAAAAAAGATTCATGTTTTCACATATGTAATGTGCTTATTTGATAATTTCATGGCCCGAATGAGATTGGGAATTGAATTAAATGCTAAAATGAAGCCACGAGTGAGGTTGGGGAATCTGTAATATGAACATAGTGGCATTCAGTTAGAATGCGTTCATTCCTAAGTATAGCAGATATAAGCTATAAGGTTGGATTCTTTTTAGCCTTCTGTGGTGTAGTGGTATCGCCTTGACTTAGTAATCATAAGTCCTAGGTTAGAGTCCCGGTCGGGGTAAAAAAATGATTCATGTTTTCACATATGTAATGTGCTTATTTGATAATTTCATGGCCCGAATGAGATTGGGAATTGAATTAAATGCTAAAATGAAGCCACGAGTGAGGTTGGGGAATCTGTAATATGAACATAGTGGCATTCAGTTAGAATGCGTTCATTCCTGAGTATAGCAGATATAAGCTATAAGATTGGATTCCTTTTAACCTTCTGTGGTGTAGTGGTAGCGCCTTGACTTAGTAATCATAAGTCCTAGGTTCGAGTCCCGCTCGGGGTAAAAAAAAAAAGATTCATGTTTTCACATATGTAATGTGCTTATTTGATAATATATATATATATATATATATATATATATATATATATATATATATATATATATATATATATATATATATATATATATATATATATATATATATATATATATATATATATATATATATATATATATATATATATAAAGAGAGAGAGAACATTTCTCTATGAAAAATGAAAAACCTACAAATCTCTAGCTTTGGAATTTATTTCATTTATTTTTCCTTATTTTATTTTTTTGAGATTAGCAAACACTATTTTTTTCCTGTTTTAGATGAACAAACACGTCCGTCGATAAAAATAACAGGAAAAATCAACACCAAAAAAAGCGTTTTTTAGTTTTCTACCGTGACGCTAACACATTGTGTATTTTTAGTGTGTGTGTGTGTGTGTGTGTGTGTGTGTGGTGTGTGTGTATGTATGTGTGAGAGTGCATGTGTTTGTTTACATGTGTTTGCTTATGCAGGCACGCTATTGTGAGTTTGTTCTGGTGTACGTGCATTTACCTCATTGTTCTTACGGGAAAGAGCCCTATGCCCTTAACTCCCCG